TTCTCCAAAAAAGTTGATATCAGAGTAACGAATCATGCAAAAATCATACCATATTATTGTTGTTCTATTCGGCNGCATAAAATTCACAGCTGCAAAGTTTTGTGGATCCTCCGTTGAATTAAAATGTTGGGTATTNGTATAAAATTCACAGCTGCAAAGTTTTTGTAGATCCTCCATTGAATTAAAATGTTGGGTATTATAAAAAAGCACTACTTGTCCAGATTGCAATTCTCCAAAAAAGTTGATATCAGAGTAACGAATCATGCAAAAATCATACCATATTATTGTTGTTCTATTCGGCTGGCATACCCTGATGATCTCTTCTCCGGCGTCAGTGACACAATTCTGACAAGTAGAGGCGTTAACGTCGCCTCTGCAAAGGAAGAAACCATAGATATCATTGAAAGTCTCATTTGTAGAAGTCCATGGAGGTTGCTCTGGATGATAAAGAGTCCAAGAGGGAAGAGCGATCATCTATGTAACTGGAGTTGGCTATGTCATCGGAGCAGAGATAGGAGAGTGCTTGGGCATGAACACAGAAGATCTGCCCAAACCCATTGATTGAGATCATCACAAACAGTATGTATGGTTTGGGGCTTTGAGGAGAAGCATGATTTTTTTTTACTTTGAATGAAAATAGGTATCATTTCAACACAAAATCATCTGAGTGTTCGGACATAAACAGAGACAATCTCAGATAACGTTTGAGAGCGGTATGCCTTATGTGTGTATTTCAATGGTCGGTGGGAAAATTATACTTTCACCCATCTACTATGTTACTTGTCTCACATTATTCCTATCAAGTATTACAACAAATATCCATCCATAGAACACAACGCACACACANTGGGAAAATTATACTTTCACCCATCTACTATGTTACTTGTCTCACATTATTCCTATCAAGTATTACAACAAATATCCATCCATAGAACACAACGCACACACACCCACCACACAGAACACACACACACACATCCAGCACACAGATCACACCAATCACACACAACACACACGCAACACACACAAATCTGTGTATATATACATATATATACACAAATCTATGCATATATGCATAGAGAGAGAGCGAGGAGATAAGATGAGAGAGGGAGAAACAGAGAAAGAGAAGGGGCTTACCTGTCGTCGGTGAGAGAAAGGAGAGCAGATATCGTTGGTGAAGGTGAGAAAATGGAGAGAGGGAGGCAGCGACAGACAGTTAGCAATGGACAGGAGATAGATATGGGTGGGTTTAAATAGGTTTATGAAAAAAAGAGAATTTTTGTTGCTAAGGGAGTTTGAAACCTGGATGTCATTAATCCCTATTAGCACCTTCTTGTTTTGGTTTTTAGTCTCATTTTAAAAATAGTAGTTGGTATATATGTACTTTGAATGTGAATTATTTTATATATGTAATATTATATGTTAAAGTCGATGATCACTTCTCTTTACACCTTTATAAGNACCCAGATCTCATTAATCCCTATTAGCGTCTGTTTCTGTTTCGCGTGTTTATTGGAGCAAAAATTTTTTGTTTTCATTTTTTTGTTTTTATCTCTAATTTAATGAAAACAAAACAAAACCNTTTCGCGTGTTTATTGGAGCAAAAATTTTTTGTTTTCATTTTTTTGTTTTTATCTCTAATTTAATGAAAACAAAACAAAACCAAAAACAGATGTATTTTTGTTTTTATTTTTGACAAAAATTAAAAATAAAAACACAAAAACAGAGATAAAGACGGTTAACAAACATAGCCTAAAATTTAAGTTCGAGGAAATAAAAATGATAAAGCAATAAAAATTAGAAAATTAATAAGAAGCTGGAGGAGCTGACTGTTACATTAACATTGTCTTAGAATGGGTGAACACATAGAGATCTAGATTGTAGACAAGCATGTCTGAAAAAGAACCCGAGGAATATAGAATGGTGTAACAAAGCTTCTTTTTTTCGGTTACCGTGATGATTTGTTTGATTACGGTGAAAAGTAAAGAAGATGATGGGTTTCCCTAGGCTTTTAGGTGTTACAAAACTTACTAAATGGACGGTGCAAGCTTCGAACCTTAAATATAATAGTATTCTTGCTCTTTCTTTGTTGGAAAGATCAACCTTGTGTTTGTTTGCTTTGAGAGAGAGAGAGAGGAGGAGGGGCGGGGGTGGAAGAAGTAAAACAACAACCTGTTTGTATCTTCCCATTGACTTGTTCTTCCTGTTTTGATGTCAACGAAGTTTTATCCGACAAAGGCTGGTAAATTTCGCTGAGGCCTACCAATCTATCTGACTCCAAAAACAAGGACAATTCACACAATAATAAACTGTCTCGTGGGTAAACAGCTTGGTTTTCTTTTTTTAACAATCACACACAACTGTTTACCAACGAGCTTTTAAAATAATTGTAGCTTAAATCAGGTGTGTTGTAGCTCACATTTCTTACGTGTGAGCTATGGTGTCTCTGGCAAAGTAAATTCCTTTTTTTTTTTTTTTATGGTGGTTACAAAATTAAGGGTTAATTATAAATTACACCCTAAAAAATTATTTAAATATTAATTTATATCCTCAAAGATCAAAAATTTTAATTTGTACATTCAAAAATAAAAATTTGTATCACTGCGNAAAAAATTATTTAAATATTAATTTATATCCTCAAAGATCAAAAATTTTAATTTGTACCTTCAAAAGTAAAAATTTGTATCACTGCACACCTGAAACTAACCGTCACCAATTTGCTGTTAAATTTAAAATATTACTCCTATACTTTTTAACGCTTATGTGCGTGTAACACATAAAATTCATTGTCGTTGATATTTGTTAATATAATAGTTTAAAAATATGATTTCATTCTAATAAAAAATTATAATTTTATACAATCTTTTATTTTGTGAATCCGTTGTATTCTAAAATTTAAAAATAAGCGTACAATTTGAATATCTAATATAATACAAGTATTTATATAATATTTTTTATATCTAGTGCAATACATCATTTAAATAGAATTATTTGAATGCCCAATTGGGAAAACATTTTTAGTTATATCTGAATTCTCAAGAGATGTAGATGTAATATTTTAAATGTGAGGGATCTAGGTGTAATTTATTTATTTAGTTTTAGACGGCAAAACTATTAACTTGCGTTGCACATTAATATAAATTTCTATTTTTGAGGATATAAATTAAAAATTTAAATTTTTAAGGGTGTATATTAAAATTCAAATGATCTTTCGTGATATAATTTGAGATTGACCCAAAAATTAAAATATAAATTATAACAAAAATTGTCGAATCGATATGATCTGAATCATTTTTGTACATTATATTGAATTTTTATTAGATAAATGTGTTGACTGATTGAATGATAATAGAGTGAACTATATCTCGTAGAAAATAAAAGTTAACTCAATTTTTNATTATAACAAAAATTGTCGAATCGATATGATCTGAATCATTTTTGTACATTATATTGGATTTTTCTTAGATAAATGTGTTGAATGATTGAATGATAATAGAGTGAACTATATCTCGTAGAAAATAAAAGTTAACTCAATTTTGAGGAGACCAAGTAGGCTCGGAAATTAAATGGATCGACACATCCCTTAGAAAAGAAGAAAATATTTAGTGAATTAGTTACACCACATTAATATTATCACAAATGGATAAAAATAACTATCTCTTCATATAAAACAGTAACCATTCTATATAAAAAAATATAATTTATTTTATCGACTGATTTGTTTATGATTGATCGATTATACTGTATAACAATACTAATATGGTGTAAGTTGAGATTGGAGACATGTGACCATGGCCTTTGAATTTCGAATTACGGTGCGAATGCGATGCGAGGGAAACTCATCGTCGATGTCACCAAAAGACCGCGCAAGACTAGAGCGCGCGTGTCGTGTCTGAAGCCTATCACGTTTGTAATTGCAATATGGTGATCCTCAGATCACCATAGCTAGGTGGACCTACTCAATTAAGACCCTCGTTTTCTGACCGTCAAAAACGTTGACCACCTGTCACTGACCCATTTCCGTATCCTGTACACACAGCGGCAATTTAAACGCAATGGACCACTTCTCAGTTCTCACACACCCACCCCCCGGCATTTTACTATCATTCTTGATTTCTGTCTTGAGTTTTTTTTTTATTAAATAAAAATTGATATTAAAAAATAAAAAATATAAAAATATCAACAAACACGTGACTCAATAAACGCCCGAAGCCCACACATAATAATTCTCAACCTCCTTTTAATAGTGTGATTAGATTGAGAGAAAATTAGCGAGCTAAATTTAATAATATATTTAAAAANATATCAACAAACACGTGACTCAATAAACGCCCGAAGCCCACACATAATAATTCTCAAGCTCCTTTTAATAGTGTGATTAGATTGAGAGAAAATTAGCGAGCTAAATTTAATAATATATTTAAAATTTTTCACTATTTTCAAACTGATCAAAAATTTAGAATTGGATTTGGTTGTCTCGTTCACATCCATATTCACATGTCCAACATTTTAGCAGCATTTGATTTGATGTGTCTGTTCACCACATGTGACACTACATAATCATAAATTTTGAAGAACAATTCCTTAAGATTTTAAAAACCTCAATTGCAGGTAATCTGGCTGGGACCCAGTGTAATATTAACAAATTTAGCCGCATGCATTAAGATACTCATTCAAATACGAGCATTCATACAAGAAATTTACTTAGCTTTCAACTCAGTCAAAACCAGTCCCATGTAGATGTAGTCATCCACCTGAACTCTGATGGCTAACATGCAACTGAAGGTCCATGAGACCTTATATGGAATCAAGAAAGTCAAAATAATCTACGGTCTGGAATCAAAGGCATCACTCTGTTTTTTTATCATCAGAAACTGGTCAATCATCACCCTTGATGTTGACACGTCATATTATCCCTTGCCAAGAGATGACGTGGGGCAATCACAGACGTCCTCATCACAAGGTATCTTTCCACTGAAGCAGTATGGGACATCTCTGCAATTTTGTCTCTTCCTCACCATCTTCTCTTGGTCCAACGAGAGAAAAGAGATAGATAGGGAGAGAGAGAGTGAGGTGTTACTTTCGCTTCTCTGCACGCTTCTGTCGCCGAGATTTGAAAGCTGGGTTCTTATTCAGCAAGTGGAAACAAAAACAACAAGAGAAGAAGGAAACTGTGAAACCAGAACACACTCTGGAGTCCGAAAGCTCTCTTTTTTCGACCGTTTAGAGCCAAAACCAAACATGGGTATCTCAGTATTTATCTGTTTTCTCCTCCTGCTATCCACAATGTTTTCTCCACTACATGTTTGTGGAAATGTTGAGCTGAGTGCTCTCATGGACATGAAGGCCAGTCTCGACCCAGAAAACACATTTCTCACTTCGTGGACTGTCTCGGGTGATCCATGTGATGGTTCATTTGAAGGTGTTGCTTGTAATGAGAAAGGTCAGGTGGCTAATATTTCTTTGCAGGGTAAACGTCTTTCTGGGAAGTTGTCGCCGGCAGTTACTGGGCTCAAGCATTTGACAGGTCTGTACTTGCATTACAATGCTTTGTACGGAGAGATACCTAGAGAGATTTCAAACTTGACTGAGCTGAGTGATTTGTATCTGAATGTGAATAATCTGTCTGGGGAGATTCCTCCTGAACTTGGAAACATTGCCAGTTTACAAGGTTAGTGGCACCCTTGTCTCCCTCTGTGTGTGTTTTCTTTTAGCTCAATGCGATGAACAAAAATTTTTGGTTCTTGGTCTCTCTCTCTCTCTGTGGCCCCCCCGCCGGGGCGTCGTAACTCTCTGTATGTGTACTCTTAAGTTTTAGCTCTCTGTGATGGGGGAAAGCCGTCTTACTGACGGATTTCTTGGTATTTTGATTTTACCTTGCACATACTTTCTATTGTTAGGTAAACGCTGAAGATTCAAAGGTCTTATGTGCTTTTGCTTCTTTGCCATTTGTTATTTCTTCGGAAAGTTTCCAACTTTAAAGATTTTTGTGCTGCTCCAACTTAGTTGATTTGGGGTTTCTTGGAATATTTTCAATCTTCCTTACAGATTTTATGTGTTTCTACCTTCTAGATCTCTGTGTTTTCTTTGAGAAGCTGCATTCTTTACAAAATCCAGTGCTCTTTCTATACAACTTCGGTCTTCCTTTGAAAAACTTTACTCTTCATCAGCATTTCTAGTTATTGTGTTCTTTATATGGTTTTTCTGATTCTGAACTTCTCCTTCTCGGCTCTGCATTTTCTTTTTAGTTTTGCAGCTTTGTTACAATCAGTTCACAGGAAGTATTCCTACACAACTGGGGTTACTGAAGAAGCTAAACGTTCTTGCTCTGCAATCTAATCAGCTAACAGGTGCAATCCCTGCAAGCTTGGGAGACTTGGAAACGTTAATGAGGCTAGATTTGAGTTTTAATCACCTCTTTGGCTCGATTCCCATGAGACTTGCTGATGCTCCTATGCTTGAAGTTCTAGATGTCCGAAACAATACTCTCTCTGGCAATGTGCCTCTCGGTATAGTGTTTCTTCTACTTTAACTTAACTTCTACTTTGTCTTTGTAATTATTAACTGGAATTTGCCGTAAAAAGATGTAATCCAATTTCATGTGGTTTTTGTGTGAATGGGTATAGCTCTAAAGAGATTAGTTGGAGGATTCATATACCAGAACAACCCAGGATTATGTGGAACTGGTTTTTCAGCTTTGAGAGCTTGCAGTGCTTCAGATTATGGGAATTCAAACAGACCAGAACCTTTTGGAGGTGGCATGACTGGTCTCCCAACAAAAGACATCCCAGAGACAGCCAATTTGCAGTTGAATTGCAGCCAAACTCATTGTTCAAACCGGTCTAAAACCCCACAAGCTTCTGTGGTGGTTGGAGTAGTTGTAGTCATCGTTGCAGTGTCAGCTTTAGGAATTCTGGCTTTCGGTCAATATCGTCGCAGAAAACAGAAGCTCAGCAGTGCATGTGATACATCTGATGGCTGTCTTAGTACTGACCAGGCCAAGGAGTTTTACAGGAAGAATGGCTCTCCCCTCATCAGCCTTGAGTACTCCAGTAGCTGGGATCCTTTGGCTGATGATCGGTGTATTGGTGGAGTCTCCCAAGAGGTTTTGCAGGATTTTAGGTTTAATTTGGATGAGGTAGAATCAGCTACTCAGTACTTTGCTGTAAAAAATTTGTTGGGTAAGACCAACTTTTCTGCTGTTTATAGAGGAGTTCTAAGAGATGGATCAGTTGTTGCTATTAAGAGCATCACTAAAACTAGCTGCAAGTCTGAGGAAGCTGAGTTTTTGAAGGGACTTAACATTCTGACCTCATTGAGACATGAAAATTTAGTTAGGTTGAGAGGATTTTGCTGTTCGAAAGGCCGGGGAGAGTGTTTTCTCATTTATGATTTTGTTCCAAATGCCAATCTGTCACATTATCTAGACCTGGAGGAGGGGGATGGTCAGGTCCTTGAATGGTCCACTAGAGTTTCCATCATCAATGGCATTGCCAAAGGTCAGTTTTTTTTTTTTCTTAATATTCCTCATCAAAATGAAATGCATAGCTATTCAAGGACTTAAAGACTTTAATTCATCATGTTAAATGGAGTTTAAACAAACGCAGTAATAACAGAAGGATCCTCAGGGATCGAATTAGTGTAATTTCTTTTATTAAGAATAATTTATTACAAGAATAATAAATTACATGCCACTTAAAAAAAAAGCGCATGCTACGAGATGAAAGTGAAACATACATTAAATGATTTGGTGAACAACTTTGAAGGTTCCATTTTCATTTGGTTTCTGCTCCACCTGGTTCAGATTTCTTCTTGTGTCAAATGTGCTCCACAACAATGGTTTTCAGGAGCTCATCAGTATTTTTGGGTTTATCTTTCGGAAATTCCCAGTTGTTCTTAGGTGGTTGTTTACTCTTTAATTTTCTTTATGGAGGTTGTGAAAGGAAATTGAGTTGTCTATTTGTTTAAAAATAAAAGGATTATAACGTGTTTTATATGGTGAAACTGAGGATTGCCCTCTTCTGTGACAGGTGTAGAGTATTTACATGGATGCAAGGTGAACAAACCTGCAGCTCTAGTTCATCAAAATATATCAGCTGAGAATGTGCTAATTGACCTGCGATTCAAACCTTACCTCTCTGATTCGGGTCTGCACAAGCTTCTCACCAATGACACTATCTTCTCATCACTCAAGGCCAGCGCTGCCATGGGATATTTGGCTCCAGAGTACACCACTACAGGCCGGTTCACAGGGAAAAGCGATATTTATGCTTTTGGTGTGCTTGTTTTCCAAATCCTATTTGGGAAACGGAAATTCACCAGCTCAATACGAGCCGCTGCAGAATCATCCAAATTTGATGATTTTATCGATACAAATCTCCATGGAAAGTTTTCCAAACATGAAGCTGCAAGACTGGCAAAAATTGCTTTGATGTGCACCCATGAATCTCCCGAGCAGAGGCCATCCATGGAAGCAATTACACAAGAACTTGGTAAATCACCTAACTGTTCCTGATCTCCATGACCATGTTTCTTCAGCAATTGCCTGTGAGATTTCAAAAGGTTCGGCAACGAGCGGGAGATAGATTCCTATAACTACTGACTAATTTTTAGTGTGTAGTGTTGTGGCCTGGTATGTCCTTTTACTGTGGACTGGGCTCTGCTGTGAATGTAGTTGTCTGGTATCTTGTAGCTTAGCGATGGAATTTTATGGAGATTTTCACCTGTACTCACTTGAATCAAAGGACCATTTGCTTTGTAAAGAGATCACCAGAACCATTCACTTTTTTTTTCATTACTTGCTCTACTATCGAAAGCAGATCTCCATGAAATTTTCAATTGTGAAAAACAGACTCTACGCACGTGAGATAATGCTATGCACATCTCACCCTCACTAGGCTCTACAATGACAGAAACAATGTGCATTAGGCTTCTCTTTTTAATGGTAGAATTCAAAAAAAAAAGAAAAGAGGATTTCACATGAAATGACCAGCTATTTACATTGGAGCTTTAATGTTTCTATATGAACTAGAGCACTAACAAAAAAATTTAAGCTGTAACAACTCTTCCTTGAGGATATCTGACCCTGACCACATGCTCTTCACCAGTGCATAAATCTACCTTAACAATCCAGCGACCTCTCTTTCCAAAACCACCACCATTACAGCTTTTAGGCTTTGCAGCTACCCTGGTGAGTAGCAACCCTTCTCCTATAGGCAATAACTGAGTATCCAACCCACTCCGACGCCATGAATCCTTGCAAAATGCATTACACCCTAAAACGACAGTGCTGTTAGGTCTCCAGCTCGCTTGCACTGCTGTGAAATTCCTTCATGGCTATCAAGGTTACAATCTATGACTACAAAATCTGCTTCCCTGTACTGATTCAAAAGTACATTTTGAGCTTCCCCCATAACAAACTCAACATTGCTTGCACTGTTGCCTAGAGCTTGTTTGGACAACTGTAGTTCCTCCAGCCCTGGTTTGATACACACGACTCGTCCCCCGGTTTGATGAGCTGCAGCCACCAGGGCTAGAGTGATGGAGGCGGCGGTGCTGGCAGATGCAACCACCATGAGTTGAGCATTGTTGCCTGCTGCAAGTGCTGAAATGAACTCGGCTACATCTGGCTCATTAGCCCTCTTGCCCTGCACCAAGATTGAATGAATGTAAATACACAAGAAATTGAGAGAGGACATAAAATGAGATATATCAAGAAGATTGCCATTGGCAATTAGTGTTTGAGGAGAGAGAAAAAGAAAAAATACAAAGAACTCTCATACTCAACAATCTCATGGTTTTGAGGTAAGCTTTAGTGGCATTTTCAGCAGACCAGCAACCCTTCTTTTCTCTCTATATTTTTGGTTCCCTCTCTACTTTCTGGTTCTTCCTTTTAGAGAAGAAAGTGTCCCTTCAACCTTTATATAGGAAGGGCATATGACTTGCCCTTGTGGCTGATTTATTAAAGGGCCAACTAGGAGGAAATGCTTATTGAAGGGTTGGTGTCTATGCAATTGGCAAGGTTAAACTATGAGTAATTACACCCAGACCCCTGAAATTTGTCATTTAATCACTTATATCCCTTCACATTTAACATATTATACCTAAACCCCCTAACATTTGACATATTATACCTAAACCCCCTGAGATTTGTGCGCGTGTAACATATAACCCCTATCGCTAGTCTCTGTTAAGTCAGTCTCCATTAAAAACTCATTTTTTTTTGTAGATTTTAAGAAAATAAATCATGATTTTAATAGTATTTTTTTGATTATTTGCAACTTTGTTAGAATATATTGATTAGGGCATTGTCNCTGAAATTTGTCATTTAATCACTTATATCCCTTCACATTTAACATATTATACCTAAATCCCCTAACATTTGACATATTATACTTAAACCCCCTGAGATTTGTGCGCGTGTAACATATAACCCCTATCGCTAGTCTCTGTTAAGTCGGTCTCCATTAAAAACTCATTTTTTTTTGTAGATTTTAAGAAAATAAATCATGATTTTAATAGAATTTTTTTGATTATTTGCAACTTTGTTAGAATATATTGATTAGGGCATTGTTAAAACTAATTAATTGTTTCTTTGATTATTGGTGTTAATCCAAATATATGGTGTGGCAAGACATGAGTTTTGGTACATCATATATTTTTTTTTGAAAATTTATTCTTGGACATCAGTGTTTTTTTTTTGAAATATCTGTTATTTTTCAAGTTTCAACCATTTTTTTTGGTTTCATTATTCCATTTAATAAATTAATTGCAAATAAAAATAGAAAGTACTTACTGTTACAAAAATTTTAACTGATAGCAAATAAATATGTTTTGTTTTATGAATTTTTAACCGCTTCCTTAGAGTATCTTCAACAATGACTTAAATTTTTAAATTTAAATTAAAAACTTAATTTGATATAAAAAACTCTAATGGATAAACTTAAATTTAAAGAAGGGGAGACCTAATTTTAAATGAGGACAAATCTAAATTTAAAAGGGAGTAAGGATGACCATTAGATCTTTAAAAGATGGTGAAATCTCACCATTAAAGATTTAAAAAAAGATTTGAATCTCCATTGATTTGAGTAAAAAAATGAAGTTTTTCTTAATTTGGTATAAGTTTGAGTTAAGGGTTAGAGTAAGGTTTTTAGACTTTTTTATTCAAATTTAAATTTGAATCTATATTTGAGTACGGGCTGGAGATGCCCTTAATGAAGACTAGCGATAGGATTTACGTGTTACACATGCATAAACTTTAAATGATCTATATGTAGTATGTCAAATATGAGGATNCTTTTGCTTTCCCCAATCCAGTATCTATTCAGCAAGACAATATTGGGGAAATAAATGACCAGCTTTGAAGTTGCAGAATAGGATTTGTTTTCCATCCAGGAAGGCATACAAAGGTCTAGATCCGATCAAATTGTCTCTCCTAAGTCCCAAAGACATAGACAACATATGTGAATTGTGGTCCAATTTGTCTGACTCCTCTAAAGAAACCATGCTATCGTGGTAGCAAAGCTGGTGATTGTTATGCATGAGATTGCAAAAATGAAAAAATGAAAAAATAAAAATATGCAATACACAAGATTACATGATTTGGCTCAAAAACTTAGTTATATGGTTCGCTCAAACTAACCCATCAGAAAGTCCTAGTTTCCTAATAGTGTTGAATTTCCTCCTCTGACCATGCATATATGGGAAGGGTGACCAAATGGTGCATAGGACAACGTATGGCTTATCAAGTGCCCTTGGTCTCTGGGGTGGCCAAAGTATAAGTACCCTGAGATACACACAACAGTTGCGCTGGTTTCCTTCCGCCTATCCCTAATCATGATTAGGGCTATATAAATAAATAGTGTTTCTACTGATTAATTCACTGTTGGGAGTTGGAACAACAACTCCCTTAAAACTGCTAGTTTGCAATGTAAGCTGTCATTAGTAGTGTTTCTACTGATTAATTCACTGTTGGGAGTTGTATTTACAAGGAAAAAGAACAAACTGTGTGCTTAGGTGAACTGCCATTAGTCATGTATCGAGCCCTTTAGCTACGGTAGTTGGACTTGTTCACGTCTGTGTTGTTTTTATTTTTATCACATTACCAAACTTTTTGGTGTACTTCCTAAACTAGTAATTTGCAAGACCAATAACAATTTTTCTCTTCGTCAAATCCACAACATGTAGATCCCACAATCTAAAAATCTACCTGGTTCACACATTATCAAAAACAACATANTTTTCTCTTCGTCAAATCCACAACATGTAGATCCCACAATCTAAAAATCTACCTGGTCTACCTGGTTCACACATTATCAAAAACAACATAAAAAATCATTTAATTTGCATTTATTTTTAAATAATATTAAATTAAGAAATTAAAAATAAAATAATTTTTCTTTCGTACAACACCAACTACACAAGTTATTCTTATTCAACACTAATCGCTCAATTTTATATGTTGAAATTTGAAATGAATTTCATATTTTGGCCCAAAAATCAAGTGACAAATCAGAGTACAGTTGTTTAGTAAAAATTTCATATGACACATGGATAAGTACCATGAGTGGATGATTTATTATTTTTATTATGTGATTTTATTGAAAATTGACAATCCTAATTGCCATAGATTCTACATTAATGGAAGTTGTATGCCTTTATACTAACCAATTCATACCGACAAGTGGAGTTGATTTTCCCATACAAACAAATAGGAGTGACAAAATATGATATCATTTGTTAATACGACACGAACAAGATATGAAATTAGAGAATTTAGATTTTCGTTAAGTCACCAATTTTATAAGCAAGTAGACTCGACACGATATAATTAATAAATAAATCAGATATAAAAGAAGTCATGGGCGGAGCCAGAAATTTATACAAAGGTGGACACCAATTATAAGTTTAAACTTTTGATTTCCTATTGATTAAAATCAATGATACATATAAATTTTTTAAATCATATATAACACCTAAAAATTCATTAATACCTTTTTTTGTAAGCAGTAATAACTCTGATTCAGACTTTTTTTAAAAGTATTTCTCTATAATTGTTTCAAATAATTAATAAAAAAAATGAGTAGAAAGCAAATACAAGTACAAATATAATTTTTATTGCAATTTTATCGTTAATATATTAAAAGTGAAATTATAGTAGAAAATAAAATAAGTACACAATGGACTAAAGAATTCAAGCAAATTAGAACACAAAAATACCAAATTACAATTTTTAATCGTAAACAATTTTCGATTAAGCCGCAATTTTAAAAAATTTAAGAGTTAGTAGACCCAATTTAGTGGATTGTTTTGAGTTGACTCAACATTTTTTGGTTTGTTTTGGATGGGCACAACTTGGGACACTTAGAGGGTAAGAACAAAATATATATAGTGCATCGCTAGCCCGGGGGTTTAGAAAAAATAATAAAAAAACAAAAAATATATACATAGATAATAATGCCAAAATAAAAAATAAATTCAATGGGCACCTAGGTGCCCTCCAAACTAGCACTAGCTTCGCACCTGAGTGATGATGTCAATCAACAAAAATATATGGCACGATTCATTTATATATTAATTATACACGATTTATCTACGATACAAACCCTATATGATATAACTCTTAAACACGAATTAATAAAACCACAATGGGAAGGTTGCCACCCGGATGCATTCGGAGAGTTAGGGTTGCTCGAACCCAGCCATGATCGCCTAATGGGATTTGCACAGTTTCATCCAAACCCAACCTCAATATGTCTATAACATGCTGAGGTGTTGGTAAGAAAACAAAGCCCAATTTAGTGTGGGTTGGACCTTTCAGGCAATTTAATAGGACGTATTTGGATAGTTTGAGATTCACCAGCCAACCACGATGGTCCATATTTGTTTTGAACTTTAGGAAATCGAGCGCAACGGTCAAGATCTAACCCTTTCCTGAATCATACGATGATGAAGGGATCAACGATCACAAATTTGCTAGATGCAAATAGTTTCACAACATGTGTTTTTTATGTGTTGGCGCCTTTTGCTTCTCTCGCAAGATTCACAAACCCTGCCCCTCTCTCTGTCCCTCTGTCTGGGGGTTTTTTGCAAACACCATTTTCATTCTTCACGAAGCTTTCTGGGCTAAGAAATACTTACTTTAGGAGCAGTAACTTTAGGAGAGGAGCAACTATCTTGCTTAGGGTATTCCTTAACGTTTTAGAGTTGTCTAGTTGAGAAAGGAGACAGCGGAGCTCCCTAGATTGATAGGAAATCGATAATAAGGGGTATCATGATGAAGAAATCGAGGAGGAAATCTTCGATTGTTCCAAAAGAGGGATATGATTCGGCACATTTCTAAACTGTCGTTGTTCTTATAAACTTTCTGGAATGCTCTTGGATTCTATATCTGCGTAAGTAACAGATCAGTATTGCATGGATGGACCACCCACTAACCAGAGCTGAAAATGACTTTGTGCGTGCACGATTTTGTACAATATAAACACAATAACAGATTTCTTCCGTGGTGAATACGAGTCTGTCAGTCAAGCGGTCAATCTTGCTACTTGGAATAGGTCATAAGGGCCGGAGATGGCCTAAGAAATGATAACGAATAGTTCCTATGGGTCACCAGATTGGTCCTATGAGGCTAAGAGNGTGAATACGAGTCTGTCAATCAAGCGGTCAATCTTGCTACTTGGAATAGGTCATAAGGGCCGGAGATGGCCTGAGAAATGATAACGAATAGTTCCTATGGGTCACCAGATTGGTCTTGTGAGGCTAAGAGAGGTTCCTGAAACAGAGAAAGACAGGTTAGAAGGGCGCCGGAGTGTTTTTCGGCGTATCCCCTCCGACGATCAAGTCAGTTCCTTAAGAGAGGAGAAGAAGAAAACACTGTATGNTAACTAGAGCTGAAAATGACTTTGTGCGTGCACGATCTTGTACAATATAAACACAATAACAGACCTCTTCCGTGGTGAATACGAGTCTGTCAATCAAGCGGTCAATCTTGCTACTTGGAATAGGTCATAAGGGCCGGAGATGGCCTGAGAAATGATAACGAATAGTTCCTATGGGTCACCAGATTGGTCTTGTGAGGCTAAGAGAGGTTCCTGAAACAGAGAAAGACAGGTTAGAAGGGCGCCGGAGTGTTTTTCGGCATATCCCCTCCGACGATCAAGTCAGTTCCTTAAGAGAGGAGAAGAAGAAAATACTGTATAATGCTTGAGAAAGGGTTTTTTGCATACCTCATTAATGTGTTTGTGAAGACTATTTATATATTACAAAACTCATCATTGCTGACAGCGTAGCTAGTAGGTAATCATTCGAGGTGGACTGTGCACACTAATTTCTATGAGAAATGTCCTCATTTATAACTGTTCGGGACTCCGAACAATTAATGTTTTCTCCTCGGCCTGCCAAGCGTTTAATGACCTTCTCTCGGCAGGGAGGTATTAAATGCCTAGGCATAGGAATATTCATTACCTTTCGCTTCTAGGCTCTTATGCATTAAACGTTGTCTCATCAAGGGAAGGATGCATTAAATGCCTATTCTCTCAAGTCGTGTGTCAGCAAGGGTATTCTGGTCTTTTTGTCTCTGATCTGACACAATATACCACCTATCTATCCCCCTTTGGTTGAGCCTTCTTGTGCCTCTTGACATCATTTGAGTAAGATGAGGTTATGATGGCTAGTCTAGCCTAGCCTAGACTAATGATCTGTCCATCAATAACCCCTATAGGAGCAGAAACACCCATGTGGATAGACACACCTCGGTGCCGAGGGACTAGAATGACTAGGACCGATATACCCAAACGATCGAGGAATACGTGTCGGCCCAGGGCATGTTGGGATCTTTGGTCCCTGTGAATAGTATCCTTGGGGTAGGGGGTTAAAAATCGATGAAGACGTATCGGGATCACAACGAAGAGTCTCCATTGACGCCGAGTACACGTGTCATCATCTGGGAATGTCTGAAAATGTCTCATCAATTGCCCCCCAGCCTTCGATCTTCTAATGCCGAGGACACGCGTCGTAAGAAGACGAAGGGTGTTGCAACTGCCCCAACCACCCCATCATTGCTTCCAGCTGTTTTTCGCTACTTAAGGGGTCGTGCGCATTAAATGCGCCTCTCCGTGCTTCGTGCCCAATGATGGGGACGGGTGCTATATAAACGAGTTTTCTCTCTCTTTCCCACACTTTTACCATTTTCGAACTCAGAAAGCTTTTGCCAGAAAACTTCGTTAGAGAGCCTCTCGTCACATCGTTTACTAGTTAGTCATCACCAGAGTTTAGACCAGCAAACCCCTTCTTGCTTCTGAACCTTCCTCGAGAAAGGAACCATCCAAGTTCTTTAGAAATCTTCGTTTGCATTCTGGTGAGTCCTTGCATCCCCCTTCTTTCCATCCTTCTTCTGGGTTTTGCTTTTCATTATCCGGTAACCGGAGGTGTTTCTGGTTGTCATCGTTTGACCAACCCTCAGGAAACCTCTTGGGGTTCCTTGTTGGAAAACTTTTTTTTCTTCCCTTTTTCTTTTTATTTTAATTGGAGATGCCCCAACGCCGCCCTGTTACCAAGGACCCCCAAGCTAGTTCCTTGAGACCAGGAAAGTACAAAGTGAAGGGAGACCAGCAGATCAATAGGTTTAGGGCCCGATTTCATATCCCCCAAAACATAGGTATAGAAGAGTACGATCCAGTTTTGCATAACCATAATCTCGGGGCCGAGGATGAGATGCCCTTTTACACCAAAGCAATCATAGAGGGTGGAATTAGGTTCTCTCTTCCTTCTCTGTTCCTCCAATTCCTTTCTCATTTCAACCTCTTCCCCAGGTAGTGTTGCCTTAATGTCTTTAAGATAATAAATGGGGGTCTTAGAGCTTAACAACCGCCTCGGGGTAAACGTTGGGCTCAACGATATCCTTTTTAGTTACTCCCTGTTGAGAGTCATGCCCCAGCAAAACTTCTACCTCAAGGCTAGGGACCCATCCATGTACCTTGTAACTCACCTCCCTAATTCAGATAAAGGGTACAAGGACGATCTTTTGATCTTCAGCGGATCTTGGGAGAAGGGAGCCGGTCCCGAGTACAATGGTCTGAGGTGCCCTCTTGAATGGAGAACGACAAGTACGTCGGCTTTTTCAAGTCCAATTTTTTACTGTCCTCGGGATATTTTGCAAGTGTTAATAACCTTCTTTCTTGTGCAGACGTCTCCACTCGTGAAGTCGCTCCTCCTCCTCGGTCTTTGGTGAACTTTGTTGACCTCATCACTGTTTGGAAGTTTGTTGGCAATGGCAGGTTTGGCCGGGCCGCTCATCTTCTTTTGGACTACATAGCAGGATATAAGAAGTTTTCACAGCTCCCCCAATCTTTCAATCCTTCACAGTGGTCTGAACTCTTTAATCAGACAGTGCAACAAGAGGCCGAGCAGAACTTGGAGGAAAACCCTGACAGGGCTACTGAGGCGGAAGTAGAGGGCACCTTTGAAGTTGAGGAGTTCGGGGCCAGAAAGGTCTTTGTTCCTTTGTACGTCGAGGTGGGGACCTCAGGGAGAGATTTATGGCCCGACTTCAACATCCTCCAGTCCCTAGACACCGAGGACGCCTTTGAGGTAGTCATGTCACATACGCCCCACATAGACTTGGGTTTCCTGAGGCAGAGACAGGCCCTTGCCGTAAGGAAAGGACGGGGGTCAAATAGCAGTGCCCTATCAACAGGGACTAGCGCTAACCCCCCACCTTTGAGGGCCGCTGGTTGGGGTCAGGTGCGTGACCGAGATCCCCAATTTGAGGAGGAGAGAAGGACCAAACTAAGGTACGACGACCTTGGTAGGGGGTCCAAGGCCCCCTCCACTTAACAGCAAAGCGGGAGGGGCCGTGGGTTGCCCCTTCCACCTCAGCAGCAACAACAACAATAGAGACAGCAACAACAGCAGCAGCAGAGACAAACTTCACCTCCCCTGTCGCAGACGGTGGAAGCTGCAGAGTGGAACCCTCGGGCTACTGATCACATGAACCGGGTGATCAGGGTCAACGATTCTATTCTGCAGGACCCTTATGTCGCCAATGCAGTGAGTGAGACGCTCCACTTTGAGGCCGACATGGAGGCTTATAGGGGGCGGACAATGAACACATTGTTTCGTTCCATCATTCAGAATTCTTTAGTGGTAAGTTCATTTTTGGTTTAGCCTTTCCTTACTGTATCACCCACAAATTGACCAAGTTCTTTCCCTCGCAAGTCACCCAGCAAATTTCCATAATCGCTACGCGATACCACGCAACCAGAATGGACCTTCAACGGACCTAAGAGCGGAAAGAAGAGGTTGAAGGAGCCTTGGCCAACGCTAAGGAGGACGTGGTTGCTAGGGAATCTACCTTCGCGGGCTAGGCCACTCAGATTGAGCAGCTATTCAAGGACAGCGAACTAGCTAAGGTCGGCGCTGAAAAGCTAAGCGTCGCTTTGGCCGATGCTGAGAAGAGGATTACGCAGCAGATGTAGCGGCTCTCTACGGTCGAGGTGAGGGCCGTCGGTTTAGAGGAAAACTGTCTGGCTCTAACCCAGGAGCTGGACAAGATCAGGGCTGAAGCAGAGAACAGGAAGTCTGAAGAGCAAATTCGAGAGGAGTTTGTCGATGACATACTATCCGCCCTTGAGGAGAACAGTAAATAGTTCTTCAAAAAGGGGTGGGATGAGGCGCTCCGAGCCGTTGATGTCCTTCTAGACTCTCCACTCTTCCAGATACATAACTACGTGCTGTCGGTAGAAATAGTGCAAGCTGAGGCCGAGATTACTGCTGAGGGTGTGGCCTCAACGCCGATGCAAGTTTTGGTAGACCCATCTGAGGTGGTAATTCTCGTCCCATCTGATGATGCCCTACCAGAGCCAGCGCCTTCTGCCCCCG